CGCAAGCTAGATTAAATTGATTATTACGTTTTAAATATCGTTATTTTTCTTACAAAAACGCATCGATTCGCTACAGGAGGCCTTTGTTCACCCCCCGCAGCCGTGTGAGGCTTCATGGGCTAATTTTCATTTTTGGGTGAACTAACCCTTTAAGACGTTCGGAAAACGGGTTCGGAAGTTGCACTTGGATGGGTGCGAAACGCAGCAGGCAGTCGGTTAGGACTGAATGAGATGACTAAGACTATAGTTTTCTCATTTCACTGTCAAGTTGGAGCAACAGTTTCGAAGAGAGTCCTGCTGAGCAGGTTGGTTAAAGTTACTAAAACTGACCTGTTTATAGCTAAGTGGAATTAATAACTTAATTTTTAATGTGTCAGTCATGTGTCTGTAAAAAGTATAATAGAGGCACACTTGACTAAAGAAGCAGAGCATGAGTTATGTTTCACTGAAACGACAAAAGTGAAATGAGATATGGCATGAGACAATAAAGGATTTAAAGCAGGTTCTTGTGAAATGCCTCTTTTGTGTTGTCGGAACAAGCATTTAACGATAATGATGCTATAATTAATGTAGGGACGGTTGAGCTGCAACTCACACAGAGATCAGGTCTGTAGATAATTATCTATTTGGTTTTGTTGTGGGGTTGAAAATACCCTTTCACAAGCTAGCACATGCCCCAGGCATGAACTCTCACATCTGCTGAAACTTTATCGTTACTGAAAATCGTTATTTACTCAGAGACCAAACCACACCATTTGAATAAAGAATCTGACTTTACATTTATCTGACCTTGAACTTTTTCATTTTTTATAAAATCAATAACTACCATGCCCCATTCACTCAGCTGGTTTATCAATTAAAGGAACAGTTCACCCAAACTGCATAAAGTGACCAAATGGCTAACCAAATTTCCTTCCAAAAACAAGTCTATGGTTGCATCTCCTCTTCCTGGTTTAGTAGTTCAGTAAGGACATTAGCCTGGAAGTTAACCATTCTTGGGGCTGTCCTGTAACATTGGATTGTGTGCTCTTAGAATGTTTAGTACTTCTATAATCTCTAACTCGATTTTATTTTGTATACCCCTGGCATTTTTGTATTTAACTAAGTTAGAAATCAGAAAAGGAGTGCATATTTCGTAATGCCACTGTAGTTTTTAACAGCTCCAGTGAAAATGCACATAAACCAATGAGACCAGAAGGACACGTGTCATGGTGATTAATGACTTTTTATCAACTTTTTGCCTTCAGTGGTCTTACAAATGTACAAATATTGCATGTACTCTCAATCAATATGAGATTGGGAAAACTGCATGCACAATTAAATAATTCTGGGTCAATGATGACTCTTGCACACCATCTTGACTGGTCAATAAGTCTCTTAAAAAAATCAGATAATTTGACTTTTTTCAAAGGCAAGTTTAGATCAAGTTGTAAAATCCATGTTGACTTATTTGTTAAAGATGGATTTTTTTTTTTTTAATTAGTATTTAAGATGTGTACATTCGCATCTATTCATAGTGTAATAAAACACATGAAGTACATTTTACTTCATGGTGAAACCACCAATGCTGGACTGAACAAATGAAAATGTAAGAAACAATTATAAACGGACTTAATTGGAAGTAAAAACTTTTACAAGCCTGGAAATCTCTTATTTGCTTCCTGGTTTGCATCATATTCAAGGATTCCCAAGAGATTGTTAAATAAGAAATAGAAATAGCGATACCCCATTAGACCCTGCTGATGTCGTAATTACACCATCTGCCTGAAGACAATGACTTTCTCCATTGATGACCGTTCAAAAGTAGCCGTTCATTCAGACAAATAAAAAATACAACAAGCAACATATTTATCTCTAATATTTTAATATATTATTGTTAATGCTTTACTAGTCATGAATTTGCTTTTTTTAAAACTGGTCCTTTGCTGGTTTAAGCTGGTTTATGCTGGTCATGTGCTGGGAAAGGACCAGCATAAACCAGCAAAAGGACCAGCATAAACCAGCAAAGGACCAGCTTAAACCAGCAAAGGACCAGTTTAAACCAGCAAAGGACCAGCATAAACCAGCAAAGGACCACCTTAAACCAGCATAGAACCAGTTTAAACCAGCAAAGGACCAGCATAAACCAGCAAAGGACCACCTTAAACCAGCATCCCAGCTTCAAAACATACCTAACCAGCATATGCTGGTTTTTTCAACAGGGTATGCATGGCAATCTCACTAAAGCAGAAGCTCATCGAGTTCTGAATCAACTTGGAGTCCATGCAACGAGTGTGACAATTAACTTAATGAAGAGCGGACGCGTTAGGATAGTCACACTTAGTGCTCAAGTAACACCGATGCCTTGAATATTCATGTGCTGGCAGCTCACAGATTCATAATGCCTTGCACCACTGAATACCAATAGCTGCATTTCCCGCCAAACACAATCTCTGCCTGTGCACGCTCACATGCTAATCGTGCTCATTGAGTTCATTATTTTTGGTTCGCTCTTCTCACAGACATAACATCTGCCTTGTTGAAAGGCACAAAGCAAGACATCTTTTTCTAAAACAAGTCACATAACCATTTAATATCTATTCAGAGAAAATGATAATTGCTTAGATCAGGGGTTTTCAAACTTTTTCATGCCAAAGACTGGGGATATGGCGATCTAAATAAAAGTATAAATTTGAGCGCAGTTATAGAGATTATTGAGATCCTCAAAGGAGTTTATGTTCAAGGTCTTCTTCTCAGAAGACAAGCAGGATACTTACAGTAAGAAGAATCCATTGGCTCTCATTTGATTTCATTAGTATCAAGGAAAAACAACTGACAGATTACAGAAATATAATGTTCTTGTGTAGTTAATTAAACCACATATTTGTATTATTAAAAAGGCATTTCACTGGATTATGTAAGTCAAAACGTAGCACAACAACAATGCCTTTTTAAAAGTATAGCTTGTTGTTAGCTCGCATACGCTAACATGCCATACACAGTAGCTTGCATACATGCTCTCAGGCTTAATGTAACAAACCATCCTGCTTCAGGAGTAAAATATTGCTAACTTTTAATTTACAACTGGTAAATAAGTAGTCAAACTCTTTCTTCTTTATATTATGGAGTTAGCATCGCTAGAAAAGGGATTAAGTAGCTTTAAACAATCTAGTATGCTAATCGGTCATGAGAAGTAGCCATGACTGTTAAATGCACATAATCCAGCCTCTTTGAGCTGGGAACTTGAAAAATTTTATCTTTTTTTGCACAAACACAATAACAAACTAAATGATATAATACAAAATCATCCACAAACACATCAAAACGATTTGTCATTCTAAAAGGTCACATCTCTCATCTCCTTCGTGTTTTTATTATTACATATTAAATGTTATTTTAAAAAAGAAACTACTAAACTTAGCTCAGTATATGATATAGAAAAAACCCCTCATCAGAATACATTATGAGTCTGTCCTTCAAGTGTTAAGTCTTGTATGCATATAGTAAGTATGATAAATAGGCTACGTGCAAATGAATGCTGCACAGATAATGATATCATTTTGCACATATCTTGATTAAGAGACTGGATCATGTCTGTTGACGTCAATGCTGAATGACTAAGGGCTCGTCTGTGAAGTTTTTCTGCATATCACTTAATGTGGATATTCACAGAGGTGAATGCATATGGGGCCGGTTTATAAATCTGGACTGCTAACTGAAAGGTTGTTTATCACTATTGTGCCCCTCAGAAAAAAGAAAAAAAATTATTGCTTTGGACAAAACAAACAAACAAATAAAGCTGAAAACATACCTAAATGTCACAGCAGTATCTGCCCCTGTGATATAGATTTTTTTTTTTTTTTAACTAGATGGGCTTACCTTGTGCAACTTCTGCTGGCGACAGAATCGATTTGAGCCTGTGTGAAGTCCTGCCAAAATACTGATAAACGACTCAACACTGCCATCTGCTGTCTAACAAATGAACTGAGTTTTTTTTTCAAGAGGAAATGGTTTGTTCCATTGGCAGGAAGACGTCTGTGACATCAGCTGGAATTTCCTTCCAACTTGTCTGAAGTGAGAGCAGATGTGAACATGCACTGCTGACTCATCTAGAGTGCTATCTATCTATCTATCTATCTATCTATCTTTTTTTATTTAAAATTGCTTTCTTTCCATATCTACAGAAAATGCAGCATATGCAGCTAATATTTCTGAAAGCAATCAGTTTTTGTTGTTTCAGTAGTCATCTCACACTTCAGATTGGCTCTGAAATGAATGATTCTCGCCTTGAACTAAAGTGACAACATGTTCTTTTAGATTAAAACCAGATGCTCTGATATTCTGGTATTTGGACGTAACCATGTGTCATATGACGGTGGACTGTTGCTATCTTCAAAGGACCAAGTATGAAGGAAATGGTCCATCTGACAAGATCGTTTATGGCTGTGTTGTTTGTGAAGTACAGACCACGGTGAGGTAACGTCAGTAATGTGTGCTTTAATGTTTAGTAATGCTAAATGAAATCCAGTGATCACAGATCAAAGTATTACGTTTGAATTCTGGGTATGATTGTAATGTTGCGGGACAAATTGCCCATAACTGCATTTAATAGAATTCACAAGATCACACTTTTTAAAACTGTATTTAACATCTAAATATGACTAGATATAGACTAAATATAAACAGTATTGCAACTATTTTTTATTTTAAGTGTGTGCATGTGTGTTGTGTATAGACACACACACACACATGTGTGTGTGTGTATATATATATATATATATATATATATACACATACACACACATACACATATACTATATATATATATATATATATATACAAGCTGTACACTCACTACTTTACATTGTAGCAAAGTGTCATTTCTTCAGTGTTGTCACATGAAAAGATATAATAAAATATTTACAAAAATGTGAGGGGTGTACTCACTTCTGTGAGATACTGTACACACACACACACGGTCTTAAATAAAGGATGATGATGAGTGTACTTCAGCAAAACAATTTTGAAACAAAAGTTGCATTTTTATTTAATTAAAACTGTGAAACGGCACAAGTGTAACACCCTACCAGTTGGTCACAGATTTTCCACAAGACAGCATTGATATAAACTTTTGTACTCTTCTGGATATACAAAACAGTTACATTGTATATAAATATGCCCATCTATCTGAGAGGACAGTCATGGCTCCTTAAATTAACAAAAAGCCCCTACATACAGTCCACGGGTCAGAAAGATTTATTCTGTAAATTTGACTGAGTTTTTAGAACTATTTTAAATAAAGCTTAACCTTGGCTCTGCCTCATGCATTTCAAAAGATAAATGTGTGAAACCTAATAAATCAGAAATGGAAACAAAATTCAGCCATCAGGGTTCACTATACAGAAGACTGATCTGCAGACACGAGATTCTGTTAGAAGGGTGAAATGCATTTGAAAAACAAATCAACTCACAAAATTGCAACAGTCTGCATTGAAGTCTTAACGATGAAATGTTTTTGAAAAACTTTGAAGATTGTCATCAGGTATTCATTCTCATGTCATTCCAAACCTGTATGCAGCACAAAGATATATGCAGTATGTATAACTTTTAATTGCTTTTTCATTAAAATTAGATGTCATACAGGTTTGGAACCAAATGAGAGCGAGTAAATAATGAAAGCATTTTTCATTTAGTCTAAAATACTCCTCTAAACCAGCTTGCAAAAGATGCACAAAGTGTGATTTTTGTACAATTTCATTTAATTCGCCTAGAACATGATGGAAATAGTGTGAAAATGTGTGAACATGTAGGCACTCTTACTGACCCCAAGTGTATGAATGAACACAGACCGAACAAATCAACAGCAATTCAGGAATGTACAGAAAAACAGTTCCAAGAAAGAACAATTACTAGCGAACTTGGCAAAGAACGTTCCGGAGCGAGATGCTTGCTTGAAACACAAAAGCTTTAAAGATGTTGTGTAGGAGGAGAGGTGTACTCTTTGCATTGATTACACATTCTTCTCTTCAATAAACACACTTCATTTTCTGGCTCTGCTAAAGATAACTTTTTTGGAAAGAACAATAGAATGCGGTGAACGTATTAAAGAACAAGAACGAGTTTTAACTTGCATTATGTAAGCAAAAACATTTCTCAGAGTAGGTGGGCAGGTAAAAAAAATAAATTGCAGGAGAAATTAATGCCACATTCTCTCAGAACATGATAAACACTGGAAACACTCAGCGAGAGGGTGTGTGGTGTGGTGGGTGTTACAAAAGCAGTCCTCAAATAAAAGGATGTGAGTGCGTGTTGTGTATCGGTGGTCATTTTGTCCATTAAAAGAGGCTGAGAGTTCAAAAAACAGAGATGAGGGCAAAGACTCCGTACAGCAGGGCGCAGGGATACGCCACCAGCAGCTGCTGCCCATCCATGGCCAAAGCAGAGATGAAGATCTTAGAGGCCGAAAAACTGCACCAACCAATGATGGCAGCTGTTAAAATGATACCCAACATGCCCCTGAAAGACACAGGAAAACACCGGTTTAACAAGGTGTATTATAAACTAGCTCAAGCTGTAAAATGATGGAACTGCAATATATGTTCATATATATTATAGGATTAATAATTAATATTAAATACATATACTTAACACTATGCATTAAAACGCACGAGTCAAAAGTATGGAATTAAGACTTTGAATATTTTTGAAAGTACTACTCAAGGCTGCATTTAAGCAAAAATACAATAAAACAGTAATATTGTGAAATAGTAGTTATTTCAGAAATCATTCTAAAATGCTGAAAAACGTTTTTGCTGCTTATTGTTTGTAACGAAGCCATTCAATACCATTCATAAATTTGCTGTACGAGTAAAAAAAAAAAAAAACATTTATTCAGCAAAGCACAAACATTGATCAGAATAAGAATAAAAAGAACATTGATGATAATCAATATTACTGATTCAACTTCAATAATTAGAAATATTAATAATTGTGCATCAAAACAACATACTGAAGTGATTTCTAATTGCTGCTGAAAATTCAGCTTTGCCATCACAGGAATAAATTACATTTTAAAATATAATAACACAGAAAACGGTTCCTTTCTATTGCAATAAAATGTTACAATATGACTGTTTTTACTGTATTTTTGATTAAATAAATGCAGCCTTGGTGGGCATAAGATACTTCTTTCAAAACCACACACAAAAAAAATCTTAATTATTCCAAACTTGAGATTAGTAGTGTAGTTGTAAATTAGTTATACTATCATATGTTTACATATAAAATGCATATTTAAAAACAAAACAACAAACTTGATTTTCCACATTCTAGCTGGATTTGATGTTACTGTGATCTTAAACGGAAAGATTAGTAAATTAAATATTAAATATATTAATTAATTAAAATCTCAGGGTGTAAAAAGTGAGGCTGTAAAGCCTGACTTACTGCAAGGAAAAGAGGACCCCGAAACTGGACAGGATGATCATGGGCAGCAGGCAGTAACCGAGAACACTAGCCACACAGCCAAACGAGACCCCCGTCATGCTCATGAGGTTGAGCAGGCAGTACATGCCGAGGCACCCGATGGCACTGATACCGTACACGTAACCAAACTGGATCTTACCCGTCTAAAACAAGGAAGAAAAACATCTTTGTTTAGCACATTTAACATTCTATCATTTACCATTCGGCTAGAATTTAAATGAATGAAAAAGCTTATCAAGTACAAAAAAAGGGTTTGTCTTCTGTGAGAAAACAGACACGCGTCTTACCAAGAGTAGCGTCGCCCCAAAGGCCAAACAGAACACCATGGGACCAGCCAGGTCTGTTTCATTCATTATACTGCCATCTGCTGCCTTCAGCGGGTGCAGCACAGTCAGAGTTTTCTGCCAGATGTGGTCAAAGTTGATCCCCAGCTCTGGAAAAGGAAAATACAGTTTCCCCTTTTCTGAAGAATAAGAAGTGCATGCCCTGCACAACTAAGCACCGTGCAGGATTTCCCAAATGGGGTTCATGAGTTGTTGAACAGCTAATCATCAATCACACATTAAATGTAAAATTAAAATAAATAAACAGGGCTGCAATCGCAAATAAATCTCAAACTGCAGTATGGCTTACTGTGATCATCTAAATCGCGAAAGGTTGATTTAATCTGGTACGTTGCACATGTCAGAGTGAAGCGTGGCACTGTGTTCATTTACACTGGTTTCCTGTTTCAGTGTCTCGCTGCGGTTTGCAGGAAATGTCGCTCCATGCAAACTCATCTCTGCATGTCTCTTATAACGTGAATTTGTGAACATGATGTGCGCTGGATCACTTTGTCACATTTCCTACATTTATTTTTGTGGACATACGTTTTCAGCATTTTATCAGATTTGTAGCGGGAATTTTTGAAAGCACAAGCTTGAAGGTCTTCCTTCAGTTTTTCACCAAAATAAAAGCTTGACGGCTTAACGTTTAAAAATAAGTTAAAGGGCTAGTTCACCCAAAAATGCCGTTCCAAACCCATAAAGACCTTCGTTCATCTTTGGAACACAAATTAAGATATTTTTGATCAAATCTGAGAGCTCTCTGACCCTCCGTAGACAGCAATGCAACTGAAATGTTCCCAGACCCGGAAACGTAGCAAGGACATCAGTAAAAAAGTCCATGTGACATCAGTGGCTCAACCGTAATTTTACGAAGCTACGAGAATACTTTATTGTGCGCAAAGAAAACAATAATAACAATTTATTCAACAATTCTTCTAAACAACAAACAACACTGACCAAAAATATCTTAATTTGTGTTCCGAGGAACAAAGGTCTTACGGGTTTGGAACGACATGAGGGGGAGTAATTAATGACAGAATTTTCATTTTTTGGGGGTGAAATATCCCTTTAAGCATTGAAGAGTGAATGAATGAATGAGGCATTTATTTGTAATACTAAATAATAAAAGTACATTTTGCATGTTCAGAAGTGAGCTGTCCTGTCCTGCTAATAATGTAAGTTAATTGCTCAGTGCAAAGAAAGATAAGTAATGGGAACCTGGTATTTCTATGTTCTTTTTTAATGTGTCTAATAGACATGAACAAGAAAAACATCTATGACCTATGAAACATGTCTAGTCTTCATGCTCTATTCTGACTATGGTTTCACTAATAATAAACATACATTTGCATAAAGCATCCATATTTGTCTATGCCCATGCTGATTAGAGTTTTAAAAACTTGAAAAATATTAATTTAAGGTACATTTAGAACAGATAAAAACGTGCGATTAATATGCGATTAATCATGAGTTAACTCATGACAATCACGCGATTAAATATTTTAATCGATTGACAGCCCTAATTATTTATAAAGAAAAAAAAAGTTATAACATTTTAATTCACAAAAAGTTTAAAAAGTGCATGGACTGATCGGGATCGTTTATAATAAAACACATTTAGAAAACAGTTTTTTTTTTTCTCCCCAGGAAAAAATAAAAATACATTTCATGCCAAATTAATATTTGGCAATATTATTGACTTGATTGCACAGACACTATTGGATGAGACCTGAACTGAGCTGGACACTTTATAGATTATCAGCTGTTAAAAACTAAGCTCAGAATCCATTCCAGAGATCTATGTACCCCTACTTTGACACAATCTGTATTGTATAAAGCACTATATAAATAAAGGTGACTTGACGCCTTTAAGCTTAGTCTCTCTCTTACCCTCCAGCAACGGGGGCTCATCCTCAAAGCTGCTACTGTACATGGACTGCGTGGAGGCTGGCGTAAAGGCTGGCGTGGGCTGGAAGATCTGCCCTGAGTACGGCTGCTGGGGTTGCATCATTCCCGGAGGTGCCGAGTAGCCCATCGGCTGCGAGTAGTCATACTGTCCATATGGTCTATCAGATGCAACAATAGATATACAGTCAAAATTAGGTGACAGACATATTCTCACATGATTACAAAATCTAAGACACAAATAAGTCTTGTCAATTTACTGCAAATATGAAATAAGAACACCATGACTTTGTGACTAATGTAAATTTGCATGCATTATATGCTATGCTGATTACCATCTAGAACATTGTATATTATCAGCCCGAAGTTGGATATACAATACATCCATACTTACAGTACACTCATGTAAAGCAATATATACTGTACTTTGTAGCAAATCATGGCTGAGTGATTGTTTATATGGTCACAAAATGTAAACTATATTGTTGCACAGCTCTGTATAAAGATAGACAAGTATTTCCAATGTATATAGATATGAAGGCATGAAGATAATAAGATATTATACACTTTAACATCATGGTCTGCCTGTAAAGCTGCCCTGAAACAATGTGTATTGTGAAAAATGCTATACATATAAAACTGACTTATGAACAGTGCTATTTATTAATAACATTAGAAGTTTGTGCATGGCTCAGGCCTACTTGCTGTACGGGTCATCTGCGTTGCTGTAGCCATATCCTCCTTGGTTCTGATCATCTACACTGTAACTAGACTGGTAAAAGTCTGTGTTGAAGTTGTCAAACCCTGCCATTGCAAGCAGCCTGGAAGACATTCAACAGAGAAATCAGTCAGCAGTGGACATTCAATATTACTAAAGCGGACTTGTATAACAGTATGAAAGCCAAGTGATGGATGAGTGAAGATCTGCTGGAGATATTAGTTCAGTGAAAGCCAACTATGATATTTAAAATCACACATTCAAATTATCTGCATATAGGATCCAAACAGATGCAAAAATGTACCATGGTAAAGAGACAGAATCAGATTTTAATACCATGACACTGAAGGTTTACACATACAAAAAAACAAGGACCTGCTATGGAACTACATCACTGTACAATAACACTGCCATATTAAAACCAAGGTATTACCACAGTGTATGTCCAAAGAAACATGATATATGTTTAAAAAGAAAATAAAGTCCAAAAATCAACCACGGTGCTTTTTTTTGCCAGAGGAACACTATATATTACAGATAAGGTTGTATGTTAGCTAAAAGCAATGTCGCACTAATTCGGTCTTTGACATATTTGTATTAGTCACACATGTTTGCAGTGGTTTTAGCATTAATGTTTGTTTGTTTTGTTTGTGTTGAGTTAGCACAGCTCCACTAAAGCACTGCAACGACGCACTCAGTCACTGTCAGCACCATTCAAGCACTGCCATACACACATCTTCAAATACACAACACAGCTAAAATATGAACATCTAATGAAGTCGATTCTGAAGCTTTACTCACACCGTAAATCGCCCAGGACTCCGCCAACGCCGCTAACTACGTGTCAAGAAATAGCAGCAGAACTTCCGGGTCGTGGGGACGATGACGTCACTGCGCTAGTTTAGAAAAGCGACGTGCGTCCTCTGTGGGAGGATGCGCTCACTACATACAGTTTATTATATTCTCAACCATTTTGTCCAACACCACACCACAGCATATCAACTAAGGTCTTTCTGCTAAAAAATAGTTAACCATGGTTAATTTTGCAGCCAGAAATTTCAAGAACTATGTTCCTGTGATTCCAACTCTAAGTTGACGTTAGAGTTTGATTGTTTTAATAGGCTAGGCCTATATTAAAAAATAATAGTACAAAATATTATAAATATAATAAAACATAATCCAAAAGACAATTGTGGGAAAAAAACGTGTTCATTTATTCTCGAGCCAGATCTATTCAAAATGCTTTTAGTGAATGCATTTAATAGTAGCTAGGCTATTGCTAATATAATAATTAGAATGAGCAATTCCTAAGCCAATATAGTTCATTAATCTAACTTCAGGCAACCATGCAAATTACAAGTGTGAGTATAATAGCTACAAGGTTAGCTAAAAAACGTGTAAGGATCCTAACAGGGAGAAAAAAACGGCTTTTCTATTTGAATATGAAAGTCAATCTTCACGTTGATGGAGAAAGAAAAAAAATAGTGTGAATACAGCTTGTAAAGTGACTGCTTGTCTGCTTATATTAGACTTTTTATTTATTTATTTTTTGTGTGTGTGAGAGGATCTCCTATAAAAATTAGATATTTTATAGCCTAAGAGAAGTCGGACTCATGGTTCATGATTCATGGTATCTGCAGTCTGTCACCATTTTTTTTTTCATATCTAATCTAATCAAGCACTGAATAAAGTATAATTAAGTGAATAAAGTAACATTAATTAAAACATTAGCAATGTACTAATATAGATATTAAAGGGGTCATATGATGCTTTTTTAAAGATCATTATTTTGTGTATTTGGTGTAACAGAATATGTTGACATGCTTTAATGTTCAAAAAACACATTATTTTTCAAATACTGTACATTATTGTAGGTCCTCTATGCCCCGCCTCTCTCAAACGCTTCGTTTTCTACAAAGTCCCTCCTTCAGACAAGTATGACCCCTTTAAGTAATGCAGGTTCATTATTTTTTTTTACATTTGACTGTACAGGTAGTGATCCTTAACATTATTTATATATATATATATATATTCCATTCAGTTTTATCAATAATGTAGCCTGTACAAACAACAATGTTTAATTCAGTAAATTTATTATTTTACTTTTTTCCTTATTTTGTTGGTATTTGTTGAAAATTGTGTATCAGTGTTGCTGTGTACCTTTAATAAATGAATAAATATATATTTTTATAAAAACAATAATATATGCATGAAACTTCACACACATGTAAAGTTAATAATAACTTGAACTTAATAATAATTATTTGTGAAACTTCACACATAATGTAAAATAAATAAATAAATTCTGCCCTGACTTATTAGTCTGTCAAAATATGAATGTGCTCCCGGTCTAAAGCGTGTTGCATGTATGAATCATTAATCATCTGCTCCAGCATTCAATGTGATGGCAGTTACACAAAGCAGACACGGATGTTTTGGTGTCAAGAGGAACTAAAAATAAATCTCCGCTGGGAAATCATTATTATTATTGTGCAGGAATAATAGAGGTTATATGTGAGGGCTGATTGTTTTATTATACAGGGAGAGATTAGGAAAGGCTCGATCCACTAGAAAGTTTACATAATAAAGCAGCGTAATGGTGCAGGTGGAAACAAGTGATAATGTTGTGGTCGAGACTCAGGGCTGGTAACACAAAAGTCCTATCATAGTTATGGTTGGAGTCATTACGGAAGCCCACAGGCACATTATGCCCCTAAACACTTCTTAAGTTACTCCAGGGGGACAAAGCATCTACTAAAAAGAAAAGTAAGCATAAAACAGAGAAACAGCAGCGAAATCAGCACGTCTACATTTAGACCTGCATTCATAAACAACTGCTTTCTGACCAAAATAATATACAGCTAGATGAATTTTGTCAAGAAAAACTTTGATGTTGACTTGGCAAAGGCTCGTCTAAGAGTTTAAAATAAATGTGAAAGTTTTACAAGCCATAAAGTTAATCAGAAGAATAGACAGAAATACTGTCAGACAGAAAGATCAAAAGAGACAGATGGACGGACGGACGGACGGATAGATAGATAGATAGATAGATAGATAGATAGTCAGTCGATGGATGGATGGATGGATGGACGGACGGACAGAGAGATAGAGAGACAGACAGAGAGACATAGAGACAGAGAGACAGACAGATAGATAGATAGATAGATAGTCAGTCGATGGATGGATGGATGGATGGATGGACGGACGGACAGATAGAGAGACATAGAGACAGAGAGACAGACAGACAGACAGACAGATAGATAGATAGATAGATAGATAGATAGATAGACAGTCAGTCGATGGATGGACGGACGGACAGATAGAGAGACATAGAGACAGAGAGACAGACAGACAGACAGATAGATAGATAGATAGATAGATAGATAGATGTAGTAAAATACTAAAAATTCTGAAAAAAGAGTCCAGAAAAGATCAATGATCAACAATGATCGGAGTGTTTTTTCCCTTTTCTTTCAATAAGGTTTGTTTTAAGATTTCTCAAAAATGTGTTCAGAGTCTAAAAAGTCCTTAACAGTTAGAGGAGAGGTTAAAATATAGGTCAAAATAGTTTCTTCAAGCTCAGTGCAAGTCATTCAGAAGGAGCTGAGAGCACTAGGCAAACCTTAAATGCATCATGGCCAGTGGGTAAGAGACAGCAGTCCACTAGCTGTGCTGTAAGGAGAGCACAGAAGCTCAGCCAGAGGTTCACTGTGTTGATTGTGTCAAATCTAAAGGAATCAGGGCAGAGGAGAGCAGGGGCGTGTCTACGTGGTGGCCAGGGGTGGCACCGGCCCCCCCTGAAATTTGGCTGGCCACCCCAGGTGCCCCCCCTACCAGATGTCTTGCGATAGGCTTGTTTTTAGTACATTTATAACTGCATCTGGCAGTGGCGGATCCTGGCATGTGTAGGCAGCTGCCTAGGGACGCTTGCTTCTCTTCTTTATACTTAATTTTAGGCGGTTTCTATAGTGTGATCTTAATGACAATGTCGAGAGTGCATAATGTTACGCGATCCATGTGCGTGAGGACGAATCTCTCCATTCCCAAGCGGATTTCCTTCACTCACACAAAACTGGACGTGTGCTTTTAAATATTGTTCTTTTATGAATTGGCTCTGCTCTGTCACTGTCTCTGTCTCTGTCACTCTTTGTTTAGTGAGTGTACACGATGTATTATAACATACATCGTTCCGCAAACACAACCCCCCTATTTTGAGCCAGTGCCCCCGACTGGCCCCCCCATTTAAAATGCTCTAGACACGCCCCTGGAGGAGAGAGAGGAGGCACTATTTGTGAAGTGAGCTGTGTGAAACGATGCCTTCTCCACCAGCCAAACAGACAGACTCATTGAACCTTTAGAGTTACCGGTCTAGAACCCTTTGAAGAATAACAATCAGGGCATTGGGTTTTACACATACCCCACAGGGTTTATCACATATCTGTTACAATTATTGATAAAACAGTTAATTCTGCTCATTGAATCTGCATTCCAAAAGCACTGATATAACAGTCCAAAAGCACTGGAACTTGACACTTTTTTTATCCCACTGATTGTATAGGCATGCACATTGCAGACAGATTATTAGTTTTTCAGTTACTCTTTCTGTAGGTTATTATGCCAGTAGATGGCGACAAGTGGCTGTCATTGAATCATTCACTCAACTGATTTCTTCAAAAACAAATCATTAAGGAACAAACTACCACTGTGGCTTTGTTTGGAAATATTTTCACTTGTGTAGCAAAGGCAGACAAAACAAATGGTAATATTATGTCTACAATGTTAGTTACTCAATGTAACTATTTACTGTAACTATAGTTCACTCAAAAATGGAAAATTGTCGAAATTCTATATTGCTTCATCTTGTCTAAATCAGGAGAGAAATATGCAGATCAAGCACTGTTTACACACAAAAACAGTCCAAAACAGTTATAGAAATAGATGTGAGAGGACAACAGCAGATTGACTTTTTCACAGGAAGAAGCATTATTACGAATTATGCAATCATATTTGGCCAGAAGTGATGGTTTTGATGGATTTGTTTCTTACAAACACAACGATTTTCTGATTAATTGATAGATTGGTGTGGTGTGGATTATTGTGATGTTTTTATCAGATGTTTGGAGTCTCATTCTGACGGCACCCATTCACTGCAGAGGATCCATTGGTGAGCAAGAGAAGTAATGCTAAATTTCTACAAAATCATCTACATTTTACAATTTTCATTTTTGAGTGAACTATTTCTTTAAAGTAATAACACGAAATCATGCTGCTTCCTTGTCACTTAACAACACCTAAAATTACTGAATCCGTGATGTAAAAAGTAGTTCAACAAAAAAGAAAAAGAGAAGGTGTTTTTTTTTACCTATTTACATAGTTATTGTCCATCAAAATATTGTAGGCTTTAGCAGCACGACTGTAAATACCTACGATTGAATTATGCTACATAAGGCCATAACACACTGTTTATTGTGTGACATTGCTTTAATTATTACGATTTTGAACATGTTCTGATAGACAGTGATTGTCTATTGCTGCACAGCATAATTGACACTGGCTACATGTAAGTTGCTGGAAACTGCTTCGGACACTGTGTTAGTGGCAGGAAATCAAAATGTAACACAAGATATAGCTCAATATACAAAAGCCAGGGAGTTGTTTGAACATGACTGTGTGAGCCCCTTCTCAGATTCTCCTGATTATTTCAGCACACTCTGCACGTGGATGCCAGCAGCATGTGGGATGTAGAGTAAATATTCAGAAAGTGGAGGCAGAGAAGTCAAAGGCACCGACAGCACTGCAGAAGATTTCATTTTTTGTGGTTCAAAAATTCCACAAGAACTGTGATAAACAATGTGCCACTGACACACCTCAAGGTGCTGACATATTTCCTGCCATTGTTC